TACACAACTACTATACAACCACTACACAACCACTATACAACCACTATACAACCACTATACAACCACTATACAACCACTATACAACCACTATACAACTACTATACAACCACTATACAACTACTATACAACCACTACACAACCACTATACAACCACTATACAACCACTATACAACCACTATACAACTACAGCACAACTACACAACCACTACACAACTACTATACAACTACTATACAACCACTACACAACCACTATACAACCACTATACAACCACTATACAACCACTATACAACCACTATACAACCACTATACAACCACTATACAACCACTATACAACCACTATACAACCACTATACAACCACTATACAACCACTATACAACCACTATACAACTACAGCACAACTACACAACCACTACACAACTACTATACANCTCTCTCTCTCTCTCTCTCTCTCTCTCTCTCTCTCTCTCTCTCTCTCTCTCTCTCTCTCTCTCTCTCTCTCTCTCTCTCTCTCTCTCTCTCTCTCGCTACTACATCCAGTAACTCCAGTATCTGCCCCCAGCTCTATCGCCTTCTCTCTTTTCTTCTCTTCTTCTCTCTCTCTTCTTCTCTCTTCTCTCTTCTTCCCTCTCGCTTCTTCTTTCTCAACCGCCGTCGAACCGTGCGAGATTCTAACGCTCGTATCCGCATCCGCGCAGGAAACCCCTTCTAGCACAAAACCAGAGCGCCGGTAGCGGCTGGCACGCCGATCGCCCCCCTCCCTCCCAAAAAATATCGCATCCCGCGAGTGTCCATAACGAGATGACTCCGCGAGCGTGTGTGTTTTTAGTGGCGAGTAGACGGGCGATAACGAGATCTCTTTGTCGTCGCGTTTTTCTCGCTTTCGGGCTCGACGGCCGGCATCTATTGACTAACTGTCAGTCAGCGAGGTTCCCCCATGCCGCGCTAACCGCATATATACCTTACACTCGCGCGAGCCAGCGACGATGATGACAGCGATAGAGAGAGAGAGAGAGAGAGAGAGAGAGAGAGAGAGAGAAGAAGAGAGAGAGAGAGAGAGAGAGAGAGAGAGAGAGAGAGAGAGAGAGAGAGAGAGAGAGAGAGAGAGAAGAGAGAGAGAGGAGGAGGGAAAGCGAAGACGAAAATGGAAAATTCCGCCGCGTTCGATGAAATGTTGTTTTCGCGGGCTGCTGACGCGGCAAATTGCTTGTTGCGCGTCGACGGGCGAGAATGCCCGCAGGCATCCCGCATTTAAAAAAAAACTCCCGCTTGTCGTTATCCACACAGATTAATCGACACGAATCGCCGGAATTGCTCGCAGCCGTCGCAGCAGCAGTCATCCTCTAGCATCGCCTCAGCCATCCCTCAGATCCTTCAGCATCCGTCATCTCCTTCAGTGCCATCAGGAATCCCGCAGAAATCTACTCAGACCTCAGTAGTGCCCAGCATTCCCTCTAAATATACTATCACCCCTATCAGCATCACGCACCATCCTCCATCATCCACCGAGACCAACTCCTGTACCCCCGCATCCCCCTCACCATCCGTATCACCCCTTCCAGCATCACGCATCATCCTCCAGCATCCATCGACACCTCCTGTACCGCAGCATCCCTCACCATTCTATCACCCCTTCCAGCATCAGGCACATCTTTCCAGTCAGCGCACCGAGGACCCTCACGTCCCCCCAGCATCCCTCTCACCATTCTATCACCCCTTCCAGCATCTACGACACCTCCTCTACGCCCAGCACCCCTACATCCTATCACACCCTTCCAAGAGCCACGACCACCCTCCTAATATACCCGCCCCTACTATCCAGACACCCTGCCATGCACTCACCAGCATCCCCCTTCACATCCCATCAATCCTTCTAGCTTCCACATTCGCGCTTCACTCAATAGATTACAGTCTGATCATTTGTCTCGCGCGCATAACGACACTGGCGTCCGCGCGTGCGGCGCCCTTATAATAACCATAGACAGACGGCACATCACGGGTCGTAAGCAGGAGCACGGTTGGATGGATTATATCAATACAACATTCGCAACACCGGTCACAGGCGGTCAAAACGCGGTCAAAAACATTTCACAACACGGACACGTCGCAAAACACAACTAACAAACTCACACCAACTACTATACAACACCTATACAACTACAACACAGCAACTACACATGACGAGGTAACCCACAACTACACAACCGACTATACAGCCACTATACAACCACTATGACAACTACAGCACACACAGGAAAACGTCATAATGCGTCACAACGGTCACAACCACAACTCCAACAAAACTACCACAATACACAAGCTACACCACTACCACAACTACTATACAGCAACTATGCAACTACAACACAACTACACAGCACACACACAGAACGCACATAATGGTCACAACGGCACAACACACAACTCCAACAAACGACTCAGGAGAGCTGACGAAACTGAACTTTGAACGCTGACTGAACGACTGAGGCAAGCTTAACCCCGAGCTATCGACCCCTACACAACACATATAACTATTATAACAACAACTACACAACGGCCACAAATTCGCAACATTCGCAACTTCACGGTCGCATCTCCTTACGTTTCTTTGTGTTTCTAGTCATCAAGCAGACCGTACGAGGTGACGTGTGAACGGACGCAAGATGCGATCAAGGCAACACGGCCGTCATGAAGTGCGGAGATACCGAAACGTTCGTGGCAGCCCATATGTGCGTAGAGTACTGGCTGCCGGGGGTCGCCGAGCGCACGCACCAGGTCCTGTGTGTGGGGTGTGGTGTGTGCTGGTGCGTGTCTGTTGTGGGGAGGATGTGTGGGGTGTTGTGGGGGGGGGCTGTATGACACTGTGTGCTGTGTGTGTGTGTGATGTGTGCTGGTGTGTGTGTGAGTCGTGTGTGTGTTCGTGCAGCTGTACGTGGTAGGGGGGTACTGGCTGAGGGGCTCGGAGCGCGGTCGAACACTATATTATACGATCTGATGCGCGCGTTGTTGAGTGGGGAGGGGGGCGTTAGCATGTGTGTGCGTGTGCGTGGAAGATGACGACCCCTCCCCTCGAATATTCAAGCTCAACCAGTTTATACACGCCTTCCCACGTGTCGCCGCTTGTCAAAATTGTCAAATTTACGCTACTTCGTTACTAAGCAACGTCTTTAGATTTTAGAACGCACGCGACGGTCGATCTCATACACGTGTGATCATGCGTGATTGCGTGATTGTGTGATGCGTGATGCGTGATGCGTGATTGCGTGATTGTGTGATGCGTAATACGTGATGCATGCTCATGCGTGATTATGCGTGGTGATGCGTGGTGATGCGTGATGCATGATGCGTGATCACGCGTGATTGCAGGTGGCAGGTACAGCGTGTTCGCTCACGGCGAGCTGCACATCAGGAACGTGAGGCGTGATGACGTCATCTTCTCGTTCCGCTGCGTCACGCGTCACGCGCTGACGGGCGAGGAGGTGACAAGTTACGGAGCAGGCCGCCTGAGGCTGCGAGGTAAGCAACATGTTCTGCTAGCATCTATGACAAATACGACATACACATAATTATACGCTCTCCTATGACACTATTTGTCATAGGAAGATTCTTCCTATGACAAATATTGGCGAGTCAACTTCGTTCCGCTTTACAGCTGCTATTCACTGCTTGCGTTCATAATAGCGCTCCTATAAACTCCTATGATGCGCACAACACATACAACAATATTTGTCATAGGAAGACAAAAGGTGTCATAGGAGAGCGTATATGCGTATGTCGTATTTGTCATAGATGCTAGCAGAATAGGCTGGATATAGAGGGCGCTCATGCAGGCTGAATCACAGCAGTACCTCCTCTATAAAGAGCATAAAGCGTCTATAATAATAATATTGATCATGATTATTATGATTATTATTATCATAATTCATATCATTATTATTATAATATTAAAACAAATAAATATATTGTATATTGTTATGTATAATCATTATATATATATATATATATATCAGGGGTGAATAATGGCAAATGATAAATGTCATGATTGACTCCTGATATATTTATATATATAATCATTATTATATATCAGAATTATATCACACATATCACATATTATCTTCATCATCTATCATCATGCTGTTACATTACGTAGCATGTGCTGTTTGCCTTCATTTCATGTTGTGATGTTATGTATCATGTTCCTGTCTGTTTCCCCTGCTTACAGACGTGATGAGTCTGCGACCTGCAATTGTCGACATCGCCACGACGGTGTCGGTCAAAGTTCACAACGACGTCGAGCTGCCGTGCGCCGCCGAGGGCTCCCCCGTGCCCACCTACCGGTGGCTGCGCGACGGAGCGCCGCTAGAGGTCGCTGGTCGCTTCGGTCAGCAGTCGGGGAGTTTGTTCGTGAGGAATGCGACGTTGGCCGACGGAGGAAAGTACGTGTGCGAGGTCGAGAACCGACTGGGCGTCGCCGACGGAGAGACAGAGCTGATTGTTACAGGTAAGCTCCAGGTAGCACACGGTACGGTATCGTCAGGTAGTACACGGAACGGCATTGTCACAGGTACGCGAAACCACGCACGAAAGCGTGCCTCTCCCCCCCCCATAAAAACGTAACACGAAAATGAAAAATTTCAAGTTTAAAAATATATATTAAAATAAACATATGAATATTAAAAGTTTTAAAAAATTACGAAAAAAATCAAAAAAAATCATAAAAATCATAAAAATAGAAATGTATAATGAACTCTCGCCTATCTTCGTCACCTTTCAGAGCTGCTTTCCGTCTACCTTTCGCCTCAATCGCAAACCGTCGACCTCGGCTCGTCGGCCACTCTCAACTGCACCATCTACGGATATCCGGTGACGGCCGTGTCGTGGCTGAAGGACGGGTATCCCCTCGTCGACGAGCCGGGTCACGTGAGCGTGTTGTCGACGCAGGTGCAGATAGTGGCGATGCAGCGGCAGGATAGGGGCATGTATCAGTGCTTCGCCGAGAACGACGAGACGTCCGTGCAGGCAACGGGCGAAATCAAGCTGGGAAGTGAGTATAGCGGCTCGTGGATGCTCTGTGATATATGCATACGCATGCACGCAGGCAGGCAGCAAACACACGCGCATACGAGAGAGAGAACGAGAGAAAGGAGAGCGAAAGAGGGAAAGGAGAGCGAACGAGAGAAAGGAGAGCGAAAGAAAGAGAGCGAGCGAAAGAGAGAACGAGCGAGACAGAGACACACATACGGAGAGTGAGAGGGACAGATAGACAGATAGTGAGAGAGAGAGAGACAGACAGATAGTGAGAGAGAGACAGACAGACAGACAGACAGACAGACAGACAGACAGACAGACAGCCAGACAGACAGACAGACAGACAGACAGACAGACAGACAGACAGACAGACAGACAGACAGGCAGAGGGGGAGCGGGCGGGAGAAAGAGAGAGAGAGAGCGATTTAGACTATAGTTTTCTACGCGTCGCCTGGCGCGTTTTACCATGGTACATAAGGCAAAGCTCGGCCGATTCCTCTCCCCATCTTTGGGTTAGATGAAGTGAGGGAGATACGTCACCGATCAAAGTGCATCAAATGGCCATGAATGACCTTGAGGAAGGGAGATGTGGGCTGAGCGGGCTGCGTGTGACGTAATACCATTAACGACTTACCATTCTCACTGCAATTCACATCTCGGTAGTTAACGCATCAAATGTTGTCGGTACGGTGTGGTAGTTGCATCCGCACCTAACCTTTTAAAGCAGCCGCGAAGCGAGAGTGAAGTAGAGGCGAAGGGCGTACCAAAGTAACGCGTGGGCAGAACGAGACGAAACTCAAACGAGATTGAAACCCGAATCCGGGTTGAGTATGTAATGAGAACGTCGGATTTCCGGATTGCATTTTCTGAAAATTTCCCCGCCGCTAGGATGGATATGAAATCGCAAACATACGGATTTCTGCTAATGAGAAAGCTCGTTAGAGACAGAATGAATAGACAGGTCGAGCGAGAAAGGAATCCGTATGGCGGATGCCACGCGGGGCAACCGCCAGACGTTTGAGACTACACTATTCATCCGTTTAGCTTCCGTTTCCCACGCAACTCCCACACACGTCATCCTGGCAAGATTGTTACAGATGTATACGTACAAACCCGGGCGACTTGATGGACATGGCCAGCCTGTTTGCTATTCTTGTATCTTCTCACACGCGTGCTACGTAAATGCGAATACAAATACGAACTATGCTATGCGCATATGTGTTGTACATAATGTTATACAGCGAAATACGTTCGATACGTACGTACATATGTATAAATATCGTCCAGGTCATTGATGACTGATCAATATTGATATTGATAATGATTTTTAATTTTCTTTAGTATTTTTTTGTTTCCTTGTTATCATGTTTACAGTTTTATTAGTATTTTTCCATTTTATAATGACAATTTAATTGTCACCAAATAAATTATTCTTATGTTTTTATATTATTATAATTATTTATTTTTATTATATTTATCGCTGTAATTTTAATTAATTAATTAATTAATTGTCTCTTAATGCTCGCAGTCGCTACACCGCAGCTGCACGCCACCTTTGAGGAACAGACCCATCAGCCTGGCGCCTCTGTACACCTCACCTGCGTCGCCTCTGGAAACCCAACACCGGATATCGTCTGGACGCTCGACGACGTCGCCATGCCAACCTACGACCGCTTCCGGGTCGAGACGAAGGTCACGCCTCGAGGTGACGTCATCAGTTCGGTTAACGTCACGAACATGAGGGTAGAAGATGGCGGCGAGTATCGGTGTCACGTGACGAACGAGCACGGACAGGTGGCGCACTCTGCCAGGATGAACGTGATTGGCGCGCCGTTTATACGTCAGCTGAACAACGTGACGGCCGTGGCCAATCAGGACCTCGTAGTCAGGTGTCACGTGGCTGGGTATCCTATAGAGTCGATTACGTGGGAAATCGGTGAGCGTTAGTTTTGCTTTTGCTTTCGTTTTCGTTCATTTTTTTCTTTTACGCTGTGAAAAACTGGCTAGTTTGAGATAAATTACTGATTTGTTTTTTATTAAAATTTTGCTGACGTCTACGTATGTGTCGGATCTTGGTGTTAAGTAGGTTGAAGGTTGAGTAGGTCTAAGTAGGTTGAATAATGTTAAGTGAAGTCAAGTAGGTAACGTAAGTAAGCTAAATATTTTAAGTCCTTATTTCTGTCAGTTTCTGCTGTGTGTACGTGTTGCTATTTTGCTGTTTCTCCCATTAGGGGAAGCGAAATAAATGCTACTGCTGGTAAAAAAAATTAAGCGTTCGTAAATCGACCGTCAACGATTCGTGTTCGCCATCATCTCTTTCACAGATGTATTTGAAGTACTGAATTCGCTAATACTTAGAGCCCATCGTCATTCAATCAGGACGTTTCTAGAATGCGTCTACGGTCAAACCCGTGTCAGTGAACAAACAGTTCTATTAAACAGGCACATCTCTGTAAAGGGCACACTTAACGTTTCCATTGAGTAGTAGTTAAACAGCGAAATCCCTTCTGTAAAATAGGCACCTGTTTTTATAAAGGGTAATTTTGAGGTTCCCCATAGTGCCTTTGTTTTGGGCAAAAGTTTTGTAGTCGCAACCGTATCTCGGCGCGTCATCAATCTCTCTCTCTCTCTCTCTCTCTTTCTCTCTCTCTCTCTCTCTCGTCTCTCATCCTCACTTTCTCTCTCTTTACGATTTTTGCCGCCAGATGGCATGAAACTTCCGCTCAATCACCGCCAGCACGTGACCAAAGATGGCACCCTGCGCATAGCGAACATACAACTGAGCCAGGACACGGGAACGTACACGTGCATCGCTCGCAATCCGCAGGGACAGGGCATGCGCAGAAGCACCTACGTCGCCGTGCAAGGTATGACGAGCATTTACGCGTGCGTGTCAGACGAAAATATCGGTGAGGCGGGGTCGACACGGGGGAATTTCGCATCTAGATGGTTGATCCCCCGCGCGAAGGGAAGGGTAGGTACTGCTGCTGCTGTTGCTGGTGGTAGTGCTGCTGGTGGTGGTGATGGTGCTGCTGCTGGTGGTAGTGCTGCTGGTGGTGGTGATGGTGCTGCTGCTGCTGCCGCTACTGCTGCTGCTGCTGGTGGTAATGCTGCTGGTGGTGGTGATGGTACTGCTGCTGTTGCTGCTACTGCTACTGATGCTGCTACTGCTGCTACTGCTGCTACTGCTGCTACTGCTACTACTGCTGCTGCTGCTGCTGCTACTGCTGCTGCTGCTGCTGCTGCTGCTGCTGCTACTGCTGCTGCTACTGCTGCTACTGCTGCTGCTGCTGCTACTGCTACTGCTACTGCTGCTACAGCTACTGCTACTACTGCTGCTGCTGCTACTGCAGCTGCTACTGCTACTGCTGCTACTGCTGCTACTGCTGCAGCTACTGCTGCAGCTACTGCTACTGCTACTGCAGCTGCTGCAACATGCTGGAAACAAAATCCTCCTCAACCCACTGCCCCACGTTTGTTTATTTAAACCTCTTCCTTCTCCGTAAGTGGCAGCCGACCGTTGGCTGCCGGCGGCACGACAGACGGGGCCGACGCTTCGGCGACGACGTCGGGGTCGACGCCTCGGCGACGACGTCGGGGCAGGGATCGATCTCGGTAAAAAATTGCAGCAACGAACAGTGCTGCGATCAAAGCGCCAAAAGATCGGCCACGAAAACCAGTTAGAAATGTTTTTTTATCGAGCAGCTAGGGCCGTTTCCGTCTATGGTTATTCGGCGCAATTTATTTTTACACCAGGCGCATTCCCGCGCTGGGTGTCAAATGTAGTGCGCATGCGCAGGCTGGTGCCATTTTGCGTTCTAGTTCCGCGCACATTTCTCTTTACAGATTTGCGTTAATTTCCAGTTTCGATTGCGACTGTAGTTCTTTTGTATATTATGTATTTGTCTGTACTTATACTGAAGTAAACAAAGGTGTGATTCAATAATAATATTAATAATAATAATAATAACAATATAATTAATACTTTATTTGATAATGATTTACTTTAAATCGATGTTTAAACATACTTTATAATGATGATTAATTACATGATATTATTGATAAAAACGTCATTATTAATAATAATAATAATAATAATAATAAAGCTAATAATAATTATCTCTATGAATTCGGCAGTTCCTCCGGTCATTGAACCCTTTCACTTTCCGGAGCTGAAGCAAGGACAGCGCGCGCGTCTCACATGTGTCATCTCATCCGGAGATCTTCCTATCACCATAAGGTACGACATATAGCGACCCCTTTCTCTCTCCCTCTCTCCTCTCTCTCTCCTCTCTCTCTCTCTCTTCTCCTCGCCTGTCTCTCTCTCTCTCTCTCTCTCTTTCTTTTTTCTCCCTCCCTTCTCCCTCTCCCTCTCCCTCTCCCTCTCTTTCTCTCTCTCTCTCTCTTTCTCTCTACTCTCTCTCCCCTCTCTCGCTCTCTCTTCTCTCTCTCTTCTCTCTCTCATTTCTCTGCTCTCTCTCTCTCTCTACTCTCTCGCGCTCTTTCTCTCTCTCTCTCCCTTAACTCCCTCTCTCTTCCCTCTCTCTCTCGCAGCTCTCTTCTCTCTCTCGTCTTTGCACTTGCGCTGGTCTCTCTTCTCTTGCGCGTCTCTCTCTCTTCTCTCTCTTTTTTTCGCTTTCGCTCTCTCCTTCTCTCGCTCTTGCTCTGCTCATACCCCGCTCTTGCCTCTCGCTCTCGACTTCTCTTTTTCTCCTTGCTCTTTCTCTATATCTCCCGCTTCTCTCATCTTCTCTCTTCGTTCTTTTCTCTCTCTTCTCTTGTCTCTCTTCTTTCTTTCCCTCGCGCGCGCTTTTTTTCCTCCTTCTATCGCCTCTTTTTCTCTTCTCCGCTCTTTCTCTATATCTCTATGCTCTTTCTCGCTCTTTCTCTTGCTCTTATTCTCTAGATCTATCTCTCTTGCTCTCTCACTTCTCTCTCTCACTCTCCATTCTAATCTATTCAATAATTCTGCGCCAGCCAAGAGGTCGCGCGTGTTCTTCGTGAGTCGACGTTAAATAAATGTAGATGATGCGCTCGCATCTCGATTCTGGAGCGAGAGCGCATCGTGGATAATCAGTGAGGCGTTCGTATCGGAGAGTCGTGCGACTGTATCGTGCGTGTATAGTGAAGTAAATGCACCTATTACATGCCGGGACCCGGCGCTCGCGTCTGCCGCGTATAGTTTATGTCATCTGCGCTCTCTCTCGTCTCTCTCGCTCTCTCTCTCTCTCTCTCTCTCTCTCTCTCTCTCTCTCTCTCTCTTCTCTTTCTCTCTTCTCTCTCTCTCTGCTCTCTCTTTCTCTCTCCCCTCTCTCTCTTCTCTCTCTCTTGCCTTCTCTCTGACTTTCGCTTGCCTCTCTGATCTTTTTCGCTTTTTCTCCCCGCTTTCGTGATTCTCTCGCTCTCTCTCTCTCTCTCTCTCTCTCTCTTCTCTCTTCTCTTCTATCTCTCTCTTTCTCTCTCTCTCTCTCTCTCTCTCTCTCTTTCCTCTTTCTCTCGCTCTCTCTCTCTCTCTCTCTCTCTGACTTTCTGTTTGCTCTCGGATCTTTTTCGCTTTCTCGTTCCGTGATCTCTCGCTCTCTCTCTCTCTCGCTTCTCTCTTCCTCCCCTTTCTTATTCTGTTTCTTTCTCACGCTCTCTCTCTCTCATCTCTCTCTCTCTTTTACTTTCTTCCTTCCCTTTCTCTTCGCGTTTCTCATTCTATTCTCAGTTCTCTCTTCTCTCCTCTGCGCCACTCTTGGCCTACAGTTTATCTATTTCCTCGCACCACGTTTCCCCCATCTCCCACCCTACCATCTATCAACTCATCATCATCATCATCGATCGATCATCATCATCATTCCATCATCATCATCACACCATCACTTCTTCTCTCGCATCGCCTTATCCTCTATCCAGGTGCAGGAGAAGCGACGCGTGCGGCCATCCGCCTGGGCTCGGCGTCAGGCACGCGCCAGCTACGACAAGAGTTCTCCAAGCGCGACTCGGCCATCACCGACTCAACCCGCAGCATAACGAAGAACATTACACCTGCATAGCGAGAACGCCGCCGCAACTCCATCGCACCACACGGCGCCGCTTCGTCTCGACGGCTGGCGTATTGCGCATTGCGCCCGGCGGGGGAAACGCGGCGGGGGAGGCGATGGCCGTACGCGGACGCGACGCGTAAAGATATATTCGCACAAGTAAAAAATACTAGACGGACGCGTATGTGCAGGCACATACACGCACGCACGCACGCCACGCCGCACGCGACGCGCGCAGCGCCCTTTTGAATGCGTGGGCATGTATGTTACTAGCTGCTCTGCTTGTAGTTTTCGATGGCCCTCGCTTATTCGATAACGCGCGCGGCACATTACACGCACGATTAACACGCACGCATGTACTCATATACGCACGACACACACGGCACACGCCACGCATCACAGCACACGACACGCAACGCCGCACACACACAACGCACGCACATTACAACACCATATAATTATATCTTAATATATATCGGCGAACGCACGCATACACGCGCACACACGCACGCACACGCACGCCACGCATCGCGCCGCACCTATATACTAGTCATTGTACTGAATATAAAGCTGTGTAGAATCCGCACCAGTGAGCCGGTCAGGATGCGTATTAAACAGAATCATAATTTACACGACACCGTTACAGATTTAATATACTAAATAAGGGATATTATATAGCAAGCGAGCGGTTCGATTCTCAGCGGAGCGCGCCCCCGCGCGACAGAGTTTTGCTCATGCGTTGGCATTAATAATCGAGGCGTGTGCACAGTTTATTTAAACATTAGATGGCACGCGCGCGCGTGGAGAGCGCTTGAACCATTCTTGCCTGAGCATTAGGCATTACCATGCCATGCCCGCTAGATTGTGCATCGAATTATGTTCCTCGTGTGATCTTTCTTTGATATTCCATGTATATATCATTATATATATATATTATATAATATATATATATATGGGGAGAGACGAGAAAGACGACGAGAAGAGAGAGGGCGGGAAGGAGGCGAAAAGAGAGACGAGAGAGAGGGCAGAGAGAGAAGAGAAGGAGACGAGAAAGAGCAGAGAGAGATGGGGCGGGCGACACGAGAGAGAGACGCGAAGAGAGAAAGGGAGAGCGAGCAGAGAGAGCAGCAGATAATTACTTATGAGAGTAATATAATAATATTTGAGATTATTTACTCCTGATACATATGTATAGACCTATATATATATATATATAATATATATATATAATATATATATATATATGGAATATAAACACACACGGGACATAATGCTATGCAGAATCTGGTGGCATGATTTCTGTGTATGTGTGTTATCTTCCATATACGTATAAAGTTATATTAAGATATTCGGAAGACATATGTTAAAAAAACATATTATTTAAATACATATATACATTTATATTAAAGACATACATTCCGTGTGATTTTAATTGACGAATATCCTCATATTACTGGTATCTTTATTTTCTGCACTGCGTTTTATTCCGTATGTTTCTATATTCCGCATAGCTTTAAGTTTCCTAATTAATTTTATTTCGTACCAGACACATTATTTTCTCTTTATTTTATTAATGTCGCACTTATTTCATCCGCCATATTGCCTTCCCACAGTGCAACCGTCCTGGCAGGTGGAGCCACAGGACATGTCGGTCATCCTCGACCAACCAGCGCTCATCGACTGCGCTGCCGACGGAGTTCCGGTTCCGGTTGTCTCCTGGAGGAAAGCTATAGGTAACCGCGAGAAAGAACAACTTCATAACGATATAATATCTACGTAATATCGATCTATCGTAATATCGATAACATCTGACGTGAATAACAACAGTTTCGATAACAAGATGCAAACAATGTTAAAGAAAAACACAAGTAATCGATAATTATCTGCATAAAATCGATGATGAATTTCATTAGAGTCTACAACATGATTCATTCGCTCCCCGATCAACTTTACTTGCCAATATTGTATACGAGTTGAGTTGTTACGTTGGTGTTGGACATGTTGGTGTTTGTTAGCAGCGGTGGGTTGAACCACAGACACTTGGAACGTTTCAATAATAAAATATGATGGTAAATAAACACGATATGTATTTACCACAGAGTCTTAATGTTTCTCTACTCTCTCTCGGTTCGCCTATTATTAGTAATTATTTCCTGTAAATGTCGTTAACATCAAACATAAAAAGTAATAAACTACATGTTTATTGTTTGCTCACAGCGGAGTTGCAGCGGAGCACTTGAACGCCATTTACAGGAAATTATTACTAATAATAGGCGAACCGAGAGTGAGAGTAGAGAAACATTAAGACTCTGATGATAAATACACTTCATGATTATATTCATCATCGTTTTATTATTTTTGAAACGTTCAAAATGCCTGTGCGTTGAACATGCGTTCAATGGAGTCGTTATGTGCGTGTAGCTTAATGGTTGTCAACAGTGTTGAACATGCGATTGTAAATATCGCGAAGCTTCCACTATCGCTCAATGATGTCGTTTATAACAACCGTTATCGTATAGACTGTTTGCGAAATATCCATTCGGACAGCTTTCATTCTGTCGCTATCTTGTTCGCCATTAAACACGCTTCCAGCACGCATGATTGACGCGTGCGCGCGCGCGTGTGTGTGTGTGTGTGTGTGTGGGCGCGCGCGCGTGTGTGTGTGTGTGTGTGTGTGTGTGTGTGTGTGTGTGTGTGCGTGC